TATAATGTATGCTCTGCAATCATTTCAAGAAGTTTCTGAAGCCGTGCATGTGAACTGCATGAAAGAAGCCAGACTTCATTATTTTCCGCTCAAAATTTGGTAGTTTCTTGACAATTTTTTCCGATGCTCTCCGATTCGATTTTTTCAGATCGATTTCAAAATCATTGTTACTGGTCAAGATAGCGATCGGCAGAAGCGAAAAAGCGGTGGCAAAACGCTCGGAAATGCGGCTTATAGCTTGCATGACAAAGTAAAAGCCATTATGTTTTTGGTCAAATTGCATTTGCCTTTTGATCATTTTTCAGGGGTGCAAAATTCCAAAACTCGATATCAATGGATCCGAGGTAAAAAGCTTCTTCTTCAAACCGGAACCACTGAAGTGTCATAAGAACCCAACAAACTGGGTCTACATTGATGACAAAAACCAAGTGCAGTACATTGGGGCAAGGTGTTAGTTTTCGTTTTTTATTCGTTTCAGTTTGAGATATCAGTTTTCACAGAAAGAATGCGAAGTGCCATGGAAACTATGTAACTCGAAAGGACGATCACAATAATAACTTCAGTCCTTTCAACTCTCTTCCCAGTGGGAAACCACTCAAATCTGATTTTGCTGTTGTACAGTGTCAAGATGGGAAGGAGAAATGGTGAGGATTAGCTAGCTGACTTGCAGTATCCAATGTTTTATTAGCGTTTCGATAAATTTTAACTTTAAGCTATAATTTTCAGGAACGGGATACTGATGAGTGTGGTGAGACAAGATAAAAGTCAGCTTCTCATGAAAAACGCTACGTCAGCACCTGACAACTCGGGCCTGAGCATCTTCTTCTTAGGGTTCGATTCCCTTAGTCACATGTCTTTCATAAGAAAGATGCCAAAAACTCTGGAGGTGTTAGAGAAATCTCTTGGTTCTGTGGTGTTGAATGGTGAGTGCGTATATTCATGGGTCACTTTCAGCGCTCAAAGCGTTTCACTACTTCAAGGTTATAACATCGTTGGAGATGGAACACCTCCAAGCTTTTATACCGATTCTCACAGCTTCGACGGAAGAAGAGCTCCCACTGACAAGGTAAGGTGCTGAGCATTTTGATGTACTTCATTCTTCTTGAGACTTCTACAACTATTCCCTTCGTTTCACTTTCAATCAAGATCAAAGTAAGTTTTTGTTTTGTACTACTCTAAGCAAGTCACACGAAACGTCAATGCGGATGGAGAAATGAAGCTGATGACATTTACATTTTGGTACCCATTTGTCAGCTGTTGTCATTTTCTAGTGTCTTTCACCCACTACCTATCTTCATTGCCTTTAGTCAATTTGAACGCTCTGCAGTTTCAGAAAGAGGAGATAGAAATTTTGTGGAACGCAGATGGACGTACATATGGTAAGGATTGTGCAAAAACAGCAGCTACGCTGCCCCGCATAACCAGAAGTTCACCTGAACTAACCAAAAGTTCAAGTAATGAGAAGTTCTGTAACCCGTTTCTGAAGAAGAAGTTCGGTTTACAGGGTGAGCAAAAGTTACGGTAACAAGAGTGTGCCGCTGAAGCTGTTGTCAGAGTCCGCGGTCCGTCGCGCGACTTGCGCGAATCGCAAAAATCGCAACTGCCCATCTAAGCATTTGAAACATTGAATGAAGCAAGTAGAATCATTAACAGTCGTCACTCAATCATCACTATCAAGCAGGAATGGCGACGCAATTGGGGAGCGCACCTCGCAATACTGAACGAGTACTCCGATTCCGCGGTCCGCCGCTTGATTCGCGCGAACTGGGCGAAGGATCGTGGATTCTGGCACCAGCCCAAAAGCGCTTTCAATTTTATCACCAGTAACTCCCAACTCTCAACAAATTCGACCTTTTTAGATGCCAACTTTTTTCATTTGGACCGGAAAACTTGCCATCAGGTGCTTCCTTTCCTTGCTCTGTGTTTTGTGGCACATAGCATGAAAGCTGCTACCGAAGCGAGGAAATTTAGGTGAATACAAAGAATGTCAGCAGACGTGTGTCTCGGTCCCGTAATGGACTTCTTTTATTGATCGTTTCTCCTGTTGAGAAGATATTCTGATGTATTGAACTTCATAAACAAGAGCAACCAAATCAATGTTATTGAAAGCTGACCAGCTATTCAGGGAGCGTTTTTGCAGGATGAAAAAAGCAGAAAAGCACTATAGGCGCTACTTAAAACTGGATTGCGTACAATTACCTCGAACTTCTTCAGACGCAGTCAATGCCTCAGTTTAAGACACCCACAATAGGCATGGTGTCCAAAATTGACGCCAACAGAATACCGTGAAACTCACCATATTGGAGAAGTGGTAACATTGTTTGCCCTGCTCGAGTCCTATAAAAAGCTCTATATTGAGCGTTTGAAGCAAACTACTATGTACTATTGGCATAATCGAAACATAAGATCAGTTGAGCCAGCCGAAGCCTTGGACCGTGTCGAGCAACACTTACCTGCACAACAGGACGAGTTTTCAGAAACTCATCATTTGTTTGTTTTTATTCGAAATTGCACGTATGCTAAGGTGTCTCAAAATGCAGGGCGGTAACATTGTAATGTCTTGCAAGCTTTGTAAACGAGGAATGATAGTTGAATTTTCATCTACATAGAAGTAATTTCGTCGTATACAACAACTGGCAAGGAACAAATTCACCAAACTCTGTTCTTGTACTTCTCGCATTTCCTCCAAGGTTTCCTCCAACGCTACTTCCAACGACGCAAACTAAGACAATGTTTTCTTTCTCGGTAGATCACGCTTTCGGTCACCTACCGAAAAAGAAAACACAAAGAAGTGGATTAGATTCTGGCTAACAATGCGGTCATTTCTCCATGCTGAATAGATCTGGGAAAAACTCGGACGAGCTCGATTCCGAGGCTGGAGCTATGTCCTGCTCGATGCGCTTTCGTTTTCCATTAGGACTCCAACGACCTTCAGCTGAGCGTTTTTGCTTACTTTTTACTCTGGAGTCGAGGAAAATATTAGGTCGGTCCATAAGTCTTGCAACAAACTGGCCGAATTTTGAATTTAATATTTTCATTATCTTTTTGTTCCATTCATCCGGCATGCTACCCTCCATCAATATCTACAACCTATTGCCAACACACTAGTAGCTGCTCGATGCCTCCCTTGTAGGACTCTACTGAATTCTGATCGAAGAAAGATCAGATGTCGATTTTGACATCATCATAGTTAGGATGAGCTTTCTTCTCTAGGAGATGGTTTGGAGAGGGGAGCAGAAGGGCATTATTTGCCACGAGGTCAGGGCTATAACGTGAATACGGAAGAACTCCCCGTCCTAGAGTCTCAAAATTTTTCTGAATTTTCTTAGCAAGAGGTGGTTCAACGGTGTCATACAAAAGCAAACTTTGCCTTGTTTTTCTTTCGTATTGAAAAGCGTTGCATTCGAGCTGTGGATAGTTGACTTTCGCGTTGACTGCGACATCTACACGGAGGGGTTTCCAGAGCTCAACTCCTCTCGTGTTCCACCAAAAATCCGAGAAGGCCCTACTTGGACGAGGTTGAACTTAAGCAATAAGATCTCCCGAAGCGTTTGAGCTGGACTACCGCCGCTTGTTCATTTGTTAGTAAACTGTACCCACTCCTCATCTTCGGCAAATGTGATGGATGGTCAATCGTAGAATCCCTAGTAAGTCGACTTGAACATAACGGTGTCAGATCGTGTTTGGAGCTGAATCGGGCTCAAGGCACGTGGGGACCAAACTCTACATTTTCGGATCTTCACAAGTCTTTGGAGATGCCACAGTGCTGTCTCCTTGTCGCATCGGAATCGCTCTAGCAAATGATCGATACTCTATCCAGATCCCTTTTCAACGCCGTCAGATATAGCATCGTGATTGTCAGTCACAGGGTGGTTGGAGTGTGGGTTATTTTCAAATAAAAAAGTCAACGCTGAGCAGAGTGAAGCGCCGTTGCACTGTGGTTTGAGAGAGCTTGCCCTCGCCTATCTTCTGGCCAATCCTTGGTCTAGCATGACTTGCGGAACATTCCAAGCAGTACTCGTAAAAATTAAGGGCATCGAGAGCCCTCTCGCGAAATCGGTGTAATATCCATAATAAGTAAGCAGACAACGAGCTGGACCGTTGGCTGAAATTGCAAAGGTTGATGCTACGTCAGGAAATATGTTGCGGATTTTCAGGAGTTCTCCCTAAAATTCTATAGCATTAAATGTAGTTTGTTGCAAGACTTATGGACCGACCTAATATAACGTTCAGAGGAAACCTCATAGAAAGAAGAAGAATAGAAATTGAGTGTCTTCCTGAAGCCGGCAAGAAGCTTTCTTTATTCGATGCTATTCTGTTCATTGATGTCGGGAATAAAATGCTCCTGTATATGCGTAACGAAACAGCAATACTGTCGATCTTGTTTCACTGTAGTCTGCAACACAGTCTTCGCTTACGGAGCCATAGAATTTCCACACAGCTCCTCCTCGTAAATGAGAGCGCTTGCAAGTGTTTTTGCCATCTTGAATATACTAGGAAGTTCCTAGATTGACTTCCGTAGTTTTGGGACGCCATGTAGAATTATGATATCACCCTGAAATGTCGCCGAAATCAGATTTCAATGAAGGTGATTTAGCGTTTTGCATAATTCATCATTCAGAAAACGTTTTTCCTAACGCGAACTACGTCGACGACGTGTACCCGTTCATTTGGAATAATTTTTCATCCGCTGGATATGTAACTTTGTATGGAGAAGATATGTTTGCTGTAGGCAAGTTTTATCTTAATTCTTAATCCTGCTGTCTTGATTATTTCACTGTGTGATTGCTTAAACACACATTCAATCGTTGCTCATATGCAGATGTGCACTACTTCAGAAGATTTTGTTAGGGACTGATAAAAAAGAAGTGTTCCGTAAGAGAAACCTTGCGTTACTGTCACACTTGGCGATCGGTGAAGAGGTAGTAGAAAGCACTGCTTTTGCTGATATCAATTCCAAAACGAGAGGGATGATGCAGTTTGGTGCAGGAATTCACTCCCTGTGCTTTACGGAAGCAGTGGTCAGGTGCAGTACGCTGCGATTTCGAGTTACCGGGCCATGGAGAAAGGCATGTTTGCATCAGGTAGTACGGCATTCTGGTCAGTTGCGTGAAATTAGAGCGAAATGGAAGTTTGTAAGTGTATCTTATCCCGATATCTACGCCTTTGAGCTCGTTGTACATTCATGGCTGGTTCCTGCCACTTCGTATAATATACGAACTACTATATATAATCGGCTAAGCGGTTGTGTGTGTGTGTGTGTGTGTGTCTGTCTGACCGGAAATTCATAGCTCGGGCACCAGTGGTCGTCAGGAGTTGGTTTCAAGATATGATATAGGGGGTGGGACGGGAACATATTTGGTGGGGGTCAAAAAGTGATAACGACAGATGAGGACTGATAATTACGATATGCGTACGAACGTAGAGATTACTCGAAACCAGATTGCAGATAATGCATTTCATTTCAATATCATTTCATTAGCGTTATAATTGTAAATTCAAACACCTTTCAACCGCTACACCTTCTAGAGTTCTTGAGGATGAATGGGATGCTCTAATAAATTTGATAGTGAATACTGGGCATTCCGTCTTGAGATTACCAAAAATTATTCGACCGCTAAATTTCCTCGATTCTCGATGCGCTTATCAAACAGTGAGATACAGCCAAGATGGGCAACGGACAGTAATGCATTTAACGAAGCAGCTATAGTTAAGCGGTGAAACCCAAAGCTTCACCGATTGTCAGTTTTGTCAGAGGCTTCCGTGTCATGCGCGCGGTAGCGGGCGGAGCTAAACTGGTGCATATATAAATAGTGATAATAAAGAGTATCATCCCATCTACACTAACGCGCTAGCGTCGAGACGCGTAATTTTCCCTCTATGTTTGACAGCTCTCTGTACTTCTCTACGTGTGCTCAATACGGCTTAAGCCGTTTGGACACGGTGAGCACCTGAATGAGCGTGCATTATGATGTTCCTGCCGCAGTCACGTACAGTGTGAGAGCGAACGTAATCAACGACGCTACTTTGCTATGCAAGGACGCTACCCTGCCATCCTGGGCAGCGATCCAAAAATGGAGCCACGTCGCAGCGTTCGCCTCGCCGCTTGCGCGGCCAGGCGCAGAGTTCGCCTCGCCGCGCGCGCTTCCCGCGCGAAGCACGTGGAGGTAATCCCCGGGGTGCCGCCTCATCCGACGTAAGGTCGGTCGTGGGCAATCAACCACCTTCTACATAAACGGCGCTTAGTACTCTGCGCGGGCCTGCTCGACACATTCTCTCTCCGTTGAGAGGGCGCAAAGAAAACGATAAAGGGGATGCGAGCACACGCTTTAAGCGCGTCAATACGTCGCGCATTGTACGTGACTACAGCAGGAACATCATAATGCACGCTCATTCAGGTGCTCACCGCGTCCAGAACGGCTTAAGCTGCTCAATACTTCCTTGCTCTCCTGATCTACGCTACGAACGAGACTGGCTCTAAACGTTACGCTCTTCTCATCTCTACTGATATGACAGATTCAGATTCCAAAAACAGCTTTTTGGTGTACTTCCACGTCGGACTCAAATATACGACTATTATACAGGTAGCACTCCATTTAGTATGACCCCTTACAATGGAGCGATTTTCGCTTTTCCCTTGAGCAAAAACACGACAATACAGCGTAGGAGGGCAGAGTCAAATCGAGGTATTTAGGTTGTGGGATAAGGCTTTTAGTTGCATCAATTTATTGAGTTGGAATCAAGAGAGAGAGCTGAGGGAGAACAGGAGCGGGCGGCACGAGAAATAGGCTAGAGCGAGCTAAAAAGATGAACGTGAAATTACTACTGGATTTCATATGCTTATTTGAGCCTAACCATATCATAGACGTATTACTATGTACGATGTTATGAACTATGTATGTAAATAGTATTATATATTGGTGCTACTCATTCTTGTCTTTTCATACACTTAGTGACAGCTGCCTTTTACAATATTGCGTTGTTTTGGGAGTTTTGCGCGTAATGACTCACGCCTAATACGTTAACACGTGCGCTCCTTCTCTCCTTCTCGTTTTGGACTTGAGCTGCACGATTCGCAAGCACCACTCACCCACCGCTTCGGCCAATCGCTCGGGCAAACCATGTCTTGGCACAGCGTTTGAGAAAAGAGGCTTTTCTTAATCATTAAACATTTTCTGCTCGAGTTGGTGTTTCATCAAAATGTTATTACTGGTTTCTCCTATCTTTCTTCCTACTTTCATTTTTCTAAATACTGCAGGTGTTTATACATACCGTCTGAAAGGTTTCCGTAAGAAACCGACCGACCATTACCTCAGACCGATTTTTAAGGAATATGAGAAAACTGGAGGACTATGCCTTGGCTCTGAGCCTCTGCATAAGGTATGTCACCTAATTGTGGGTGGATGTATGATTTCGTCGTTGTTTCGAGTTGGATTTTTTCGGCCGCGCCCTATCTGCCTCCATCACCTCAGTAAGCGTTCTACCCATACGAGAGTTGATCTCTCATCCGTCGCTTCCCTTCGCTAACCTTTTTCCTACTTCGCTGTTATCTCGCCAGAAAGGGTGATGGGTCGAAGTGGCCATATGAAATGAGACAAGTATCATGGTATGTGGTTTCGGACGCTGATCTCGAATCTTCTTCCCAAATCTGCCAAACGATTCGCTGAACGGAGTTACGGAGGTTTTTTGTTCCTCACACAGTTTAACACAGTGAGGAATCGGCCCCAGCAGTAACGGCGTTTCAGTGGAGCACTGTCGATTAGCAGCCGGGTGCTAGTGACCTAGTGGTTGGAGCGGTGGGCTTTAGATTTGGGGTCAGGGGATTGGATCTTTGCACCTTCCTTCTTTGGCACTTGTGACTGGCAGTAGTAAAACATTCTTCTTCCACCATTGGCCAACCCCCACTTGGTTTTTATGAGTTTCAGAAAATTACTTTGAGATTTTCCTCAACTTGCATGCCACTACATAAGGTTAAGGCGCGCCAGTATACGGAGCGCGCGCTTCAGCCGTTTTGAGTGAACGAATGTGAGATCTGTGTTCAAGTAGTCCAATAACTCCTGGGGCCGATTTCTAGAAAAATTCGAGATTTTGAATTAATTCAAAAAGTGGGCGAGTCACTCATTGATGCTACATATCCATAGCCGGTAGTTCCAGGGTTGACCTATGGACGACGTCAACCCTTAGAATTAGAAACTAGTAGTACCATGCAGGTGTTGGAATCGCACAAACAGAAATTTAGATACTGTTCTATTCGATACATTCTACCCTCTGAAACACCCAACACTTGTTTTGTCCCAAAACTCCATATAGACTTCGATGATAGGTTGATGGATAAATATTAGATGCCCACTTTATTTTGAAATTTGTTCGAAATCTCAGGGTTGCAACTTGCCTCTAGGGCTATTTTCATCTCCAGAACACGACATTACTTTTGTTTGCTACAAGAATGTCTGAAAAGGGTCCTGTGGGCTTCGTGTGCAGTCATTGGCAAGTACCGCCAGAAATTATTAGAAACCCTCCTCGCATACTCTTTGTACGGGTAATGTCTATAGGCAAGCGTTGATCGACTATTATGAGTGTTAGTCCTTTACAACCATGTCGCAGCGAAGGCAAACGGCATCTATTCTACACCCTTCCGCATGTGATCACGGACCACTACCGCTGCTGCTCTACTTTGCTTCATAACTCCATTTAGAAAATTGTTCGGCAGATTTGGGAAGCAGATACGAGATGAGTGTCCAAAAAGACACCCAACAGAGTATATCTCATTGCTCATGGCCACTTCGACCCATTACCCTATTCTAGTCGGACATATTACGAATTTTCCTCTCAGCTCTATCCACTTTGGTGCTTCTTAATTCTTTACCTCTACTCCTTGGAAGCCTCCACGAATTTTAGAGAATTGTAGTGCTTTTATGTACACAATTTTCTGTATCACTGACTGTGCTTGGGCTCTCACCTCTCATTCCACCATGCTCAGGAGATAAACGTGAAAATGCCGACTCTCCGAAAATTCTGCTTTTCCAAGATGTCTTGAGCCAAGTTATGAATACTTTGTCGTTTTCTTGGACTCCGCTGTTGATCGTTATCCATGCTGTCGGTCTCTAAGTTCCTCTGCAACCGAATCAATTATTTTCGCCTTAGACACTACCCCTTCAAAGCGCTCTCTACTAGCCATGGGTAGCGCTCCGCGTAGCTCTTGTAAGCTTTGTTCATCTTGGTTAATTGAGAATCGCCTATCGAAGTTTGGGCATAAAGACCAATTCACAGAGAGGCAAAAAGGCCGTTTCATAGCCTTATAAAGAATTGCTAGAAAGCCGTCAACTTAATCGTTTCAGGCGTGGTTTCGGTATGCTCGGGAGTTCATGCGGGTTTATCGTGATATGCCTCGTTTCCTGCTCATGCATCAAGGTCTACTCTCTCACGATGACATAAATTTGATCGAGGTGGAGGATGAGGATGTTGCTGAAGTGTTAAAAACTATGCACAAGAACGGTATACAGTGATGTTTTTGCTGCTCTCTTACTCCCGCATTTTTTCGAAATCTACGTATGGGGATTTATAGCATCTATTGATAGTGATAGAGTAGGGGCAAGGAAGTTGAGATCAATGCCTTTACTTAAGTAGTGGCTTCCTCAACTATGAGAAACAATATCAAATCTTCAATGCACTACCATCGGATCGAGCAGGTCACTCTGGAAGGCCTAGAAAGCTGCTAGCGTGCTGGTACGTATGGTGGTAGCGGGCGGGACAAATGGTTACCCGTTGGCAACAGGAGGTTGCTGGATGACTGCTTCAAAACCCTTACATGCACTGGAAAAGTTTCAAAAGAGAGAAAAATGACTGCCACATTGCAACCTCTTGCGGTTGGGTTGCGGCGCAAGACCGAATTTTGAAACATCGAAACAATTCACTCTTGAGGACGGAATCTTCGTGATCATCATGCAGAGCGCAATCTGATTTCCATCGATGCAGCGCTGCTCGGCTGGCGCATGACCCTCTAGAAGTTGATGTGGAGAAAGAATTAGTGAATAGATCGTTTTTGAGCAACAGTCTATCTTTGTGGTGCAATCGCTAATTCATTAGAAAGATAGGAAAAATTCTGAAGAAAATACTGGGAAATAATCCATTTGGATAGCTCAGTTTTTCGTCAATAGACGTCTCCTTGACTAAGAAGTTTGGCCAAAATTAAGTGAATATGCACATTTACGTACACGAAGTATACATATATTCACAACGTTGAAAGGCAGAGGGCAGAATAAAATGCGCACATATTGGAAATCACGGAGGCCACATCGTAGCATAGTCCAAGCTTACTTCAGTTTGTTAAAGTGATAAGATGTTGGGTTGATGCCATTAATTATTTAGCGGCTCCTCAAGACAAATTTATTCGGAGAAAACGAATAAAGATATCAATCAAAAACGCGCTCAAATGATTATTCCGGAGCGTAGACACAACCCTTCAAGAAGGCTTCCCATTTGCTTGGTAAGTAGGTCCGATTTAACGGGTGAAATTCACGATTCTTGGAGACGATCCACGCTCTAACATCGGCCACCAAGTCATCCAGCTCGTCGTAAATTTTGTTCGTTTGCCAGTTTTTCAACGACTGATTGAAGTGGTAGTCTGTAGGAGCTTCGTCGGTAATGTGGCGTTTTGAACCTCTTGAACCATCTTTCAACTTGGCTTTTGCTAATTGTTCCCTCGCCGAAAAGTTCGTTGAGATCGCGAAATGACTCTGCCGCTTTCTACTTTTCTTGAAGTGGTAGAGCATATATGGCGAATATGAAGAAAAGAGAGGAGAATATTTTCACGAACAAATAATAAACAAAACGCCAGTCTTTTCAAATAAAGAGGACGTGAAAAAAATTCGCAATAATTATGCACCAACCCAATACATTTACTCCCATTCTCAGTGTTCATGACTCTTTCTTATATGAAGAAGCCATCCCATTGCGGATTCCATGGTAGGCTTTCATGTATGTGTCATTGTCATGCGTGCGCAACTAAATAGAAAGGAGTGAGTAGTGCTCCACTCCTTTCTATTTAGTATTGCGAAGTTCCCTTCAAGGAAACGGGAGTAAACCGAGCAAATAGATCAGTTTTATCCAAATTCGAGTTGTCTTACCGTTCAGGTGAACTGGACAATGCCTTGGTCATTGTTATGGCTGATCACGGCCATCGTTTCGCTAAGTTGAGAGAAACTCATCAAGGACAGCTCGAGGAGGTGGCTACCGTTTTTCTCTTGAACTACAATATAACAGTTTAGGCAATGCGCTGCGATGTTATACATACGAAAATCACATGCGCGTGACATTTCGCTTCGTTTCAAGCACTGTACAAGGAATTTATGTGTGCTTTTCCTTTCAAACTGTTTGTCTATGCTAGTTATTGGTTTGCAGAAGAAGGAATTTGTTTTACAAGTTCTGACGAAAACCTGCTCAAGTTGGAACGCGATTGCTCGGCAAGCAAACAGCTGGCCTGAGAACCAAAGGTTTCTGCGAGGCTCACAGTTTTCTACGAGCCTTTCAGAAACTGTTCACAAAATTTTGAAACTCCAGTTCGGGCGGTGGGCACTCCCCGTTATCTTAGCCGTATTACTAGGGAGCACTCCTCTGGACTTCAATCCTATGGATAAGATAAAAGGTGGACAACAGTTGCGACGAGGTCTCTGAAGGGCGACTTTCCTGCTGTTCACTTAGAGGCTGCCGATATGCACTAAATCAACGTCGACCCGTTTCCCTTATCGACTAGGAGAACTAATTTTGCTTTTCTAATTCTTCTTCTGAGCAGACCTTGCGCGCTGCTCTCTTGGCCTATCTTCGAGGGCTAAGTCGACAACTTCTGGGAAGAAACTGCACCTTAGTTTTTTCACCATTGTTATGTTTCATGATTAATGGTTTGATAATTTTAAGTAAAGGCAACAAACCATAGGCTAACTTTTCCAGCGACTGCCATTCTTCTCTATTGCACTACCTGCAGCCTTCAGAAAAACTGCACACGGGAAGAAGATGTACGAGAATCTGAAAAGAAATAAGGATAGGTTGGTTCTGTTCGAAATAAGCTATGTTGCAAGCAGCCTGTTAATAGCGGTAATGGCTACAAGTTTTGAATAAAGGAATCTTTCGCGGAAAATTCTTGCATTCTTTCTTGACATGAATGTGTCAGTTGTGATCACTGGAAACAGCACACAAAGTTTCACGCATGAAGATTCGGTTTCTGAAGAGAAACAAACGTACAAAAACTACACTCTATGGACAATCGAAGGTAATTCGGGCGGAGCCAAAGGCGAGGCATGGAAAGAAGTTGGCCTTTGGCCGGCTACGTATCAGCAGAGTCGACCCTGCGTTGCGCAGTTCTCAACG